TTCTTGTATTAGGGCCCGTTAGTGTGTCCCTGTTTTTTTTACCAGTGGTCTTTATGGCTCTAGGCTTTCTGCTTAGGTCTTTGATCCATCTTGAGTTCAATTTGTCCGTGGTGGGGGGTGTGCATCATGTTTCATTCTTTTGCAGCCAAGGATCCAGTTCTTCCAGCACCATTTATAGAAGAGGCTCTCTTTCTACCCCTTAATGTGTTTTAGTCCTTTATGAAAGATCAGTACTGTCTGTAGTTACTTGATTGCATTTCTGGCTTTTCAACTCTAATCCATTGATTGTCATTGCCTATCGTTGTACCAGTACCAAGCTGTTTTGATTACTTGTGCTTTAAAATAGGTTTTAAAGTCTGGGAGTGAAAGGCCTCCTTTTTGTTTTGTAATGTTTTATTTATCCTGTGTTTCGTTCCTCTCCATATGCAGTTGGTGGTTAATTTTTCCCTTCCTTTGAAGACTATTGCTGGAATTTGGAACAGAATTGCATTGAGTTGGTAAAATGTTTTTGATAATAATGACTTTTCACTATATATAATCTACCTATCCAGGAGCATGGTAAACTTGTTGCATTTGTGTAAGTTTCTTGTAGGAGTGTTTTGTAGTTTTCCTTATACAAGTCTTTTGTTCCTTTGGTAAAATGCATTCCTAAGTATTTTAACTTTAGGCTCATTATTGTAAATGCTATTGTTCTTTTAGTAACCTTTTTTTCGTGTCATCTTCCTTACTATACCGGAATTCAACTGATTTCTGTCTGTTGACCTTACACTGCCAAATTTTTCAATCTGTGCCAGCAATTTCTTAATTGCATCTTTGGGTTTTCTCTGCTCACTGCCTGCAAGAGAGTGACTCTTAGAGACTGACTCATAGAGACCCCTCATGGGTTTCTGAGCCTCTGTTTACAGGAGTAGAAAGCCCAGTATTTCTCCCATGGAGCTGCTGTGGTTTTAAACTGCTGACCATGCAGATTGTAGCCTAACCAATGCATAACCACGATACCACCAAGATGATATCATATACAAATAAAGCGTGCTTTATTTCTCCCGTGCCTATTGGCTGCCTTGGCTATCTTTATGGTCTCATCCCATTCACCCAACCCCCATTCTGCCCAGAGGAACTGCTTTTCCTCCCTTCCTTCCTTCCTTTTCCACTCTTTCTTTCTCCTTTTCCATTGGCCTTCCTCCTTTTGGTTTTCACAACAATAATGGAAGCAATAACGACGTTCAGACCTGTGATTGAAAAACAAGACAGTGGGGGAATCATCAAGGCAGACCGAGGAGTCAGCCGGGGTTTCAGGAAACACATCACCTGCCAGATATGAAAACAAACAGGGCTTCCTGTGACCAGCCTCTTCCAGGACAAAGTCCAGAGCAGCGGAGCGCAGGGTGGCCAGGAACCAGGAGGCAGGTGGGGTTGCCTGTGGCTAGGCTGGCTTCCAGAGGAACAGACCAGCCGGCGCTCTCATTCCACTTGGCTGTCGGAGAGAGCCAGCTGAGCTCCCACAGGATCAGGTGCCTGGCTCACCAAACTGGCTGGACAGTCTCACAGCCCAGAAGATCAGAGGCCCTGCCAGTGGGAGGGTGCTAGGAGACCCAGCCAAGGGGCACATAGCCGAAGGCTGAGCCCAGCCTCCAAGAAAACCAGCAGCTTCTGGACAGTAACAATAACAATCAGATTGGTAGCCTTTACTTGACACGTACTGTAGGCCAGGTCAAAGAGCCCTGGTGGTATAGTGGTTCTGGGATTGGGCTGCTATCTGCAAGGTCAGTGGTTCAAAACCACCAGCCCTCCAAGGAAGAAAGACGGGGCTTTCTAACTCCCTCAAGACTCACAGCCTCAGAAACCCACAGGGAGTAGTTCTACGCTGCGCTATGAGTCAGAATTGACTCGATGGCAGTGAGTCTGGCTTGGCTTTGAGTATGCGAGGTACTAACTCATTTGCTCCTCGCCATAACCCTTTATTAAGCCCATTTTACAGGTGGGAGCATTGAGGTCCAGTGGTTGTCCAAGGCCACATGGCCAGCTAGTATGCTGTGGCAGCACTGGCTCTTCAGACAGGGAGGGAGCTTGGGGGAGGAAGCCAGGGGAGCAACATGGGTGAGCCCTGCTGCCCCATCCACTTGCACGCCAGTTAGTGTCCCCATTACGGAGAGTCAAGCAGCTCAGCAGGGTTTCCCGAGGACCCGTGGCTGTCACAGGGCAAAGGCAGGGCTAGGAACCCACTGCTGACAGCGTCTGAGTCCAAACCCCGCCCAAACCCAACCCCCTGCCTCAAGTCGATTACAACTCACAGCGACGCCGCCTAGGCTTTCTCGGCGGCACATCTGTCTGGGAGCAGACAGCCTCGCCGCCCCCAGAGGAGCACCTGGCAGGTTTGGACCATGGACTTTGTGGTTAGCCGTCTAGCACTTCACCCACAGCACCACGAGGGCTCGTTGGCTCCCAGTTCGTGCTCCTGACTCCTGTCCAGGAGGAGGCCCCAGATGCAGAGAGAAGCACTCCTGCTATCCGGGCCCTGAAGCCTGCAGTGCTCTCGAATGCCCCCTGCACAGAGACCTGCCCGAGGTACGGGCCGGGGTCCGGCCCAGCCTGCAGGCAGATGAGGTAAAGCCCGGGCCCAGGGAGCTTCCTGTGTCAGTTTCCCAGGTCCTCGCCGCCAGGCAGTCTCCAGGAAACCAGGGCCTGCCCATACCCACCGTGAGCAAGGGCACTGGGCCCCGTGCCAGCGACAGGGGCGTCAGCTCGTCAATGGGCCTCCGTGCAGCTGCATAGTACAATCCCTGGGGAGCTTTCAAATAGCCCTGGTGCCCAGGTAGCACCCCAGAGCAGTGGGGTCAGAATCTCAGGGTGGGGCTGGGAGGTCAGCATTTTTCAGAGCTTCCCAGGGAAGGCCCATCTGCAGCCACGTTTGGAGACACTGCAGGGGAGGGAGGGGGGGTGGTTAATCATGGCAGTAGGACCAGAGGGCAAACCAAAGTCTCCTGGCCCCCAGTTGGACTCCCCGGGATCAGGGACCCCCTGGGACTGGGTGCATGGTGGGCGACTGCTGGTGTGTTTACCTGTCCAGTGGTGAGAGGCCCACAGCTTCCATCTGCCCAAAGGAGGTCAACACCAAATCTTGGGGGAAGCAACCCTTTCTCCCCCACTGACCTCACCAGCCATGTCCTCTGCAGACGGAAGCCTCCTCTGGCCAAATTGGCGTGGGCTTGTTTTGACCCCTGTGAGCAGCCGGCTCTCCTGCTCCCCACCCCTTATGTCCTTCCCTCGAGTCCAGCTTCCCACCAAGCTGTCCACTAGGCCCTGGTCTAGGTTCTAGGATGGGGCAACTGGGGCAAATCAGACAAGAGGCTGTCTTCTCGTGGGACAAGTCAGCTGGGCTGCAGGAAGCCGGGACGGGGCTGGAAAAGGGCACGCAGCCATGGGACGGACCTGGTGTCCTGCCCAGAGAGGCCGATGACCTGGAGCGGCTGGATGCTGGCAGATCTTGCTTCTCATGTGGAGTGGTGGCGAACTGTGAAACCGGGTATCTAAGACCCAGGAGGGCTAGGGAGGAGGGAGTCTGGCCTTCTGGGCCCCACCCGCAGAGAGAGCAGGGGTCCCCAGGGTGCTTTTCGAGAACTGTGCTGCTGCTTCGGGCAGAAGAAGGGCAAGCACAGGGGCCCTGAGTGGGGGCTGGGCCTGCAAATTCTAGGGCAGCAGCAGGAGAGAATTCAGCATGCACCGGGGAGCAAAAAGGGCCAAGCAGGCAGGACCCCGCCCTACGCTTGTTGTTAGGTGCCCTCAAGCCTGTTCTAACTCTCCAGAAGCGTCGGCACAAAGGAACAGAGCACCGCTGGGCCTGGGCTGCCCTCACAGTGGCTCCGTGTGGACTCCCTCCTCGTTGCAGGCCCTGTGCCAGTTCAGCTCTCTGAGGGGGTCTTTCTCTTTCCCACTGCCCCTCTATTTCACCAATCATGATGGCCTTTCCTAGGCTCCGGTCTCTGATGACGCATCTCCAGGACGTAAGACTAGGGTTGGCTATCCTAGCTTCCCACAAGCATTGAGATGGCTTTGTTACTCTGCCCGTCCTGTAGGAGCTAGAAGTCCACACAGAGGCCAGATCACCTCTCACAGTGACCCGCAGGGGGAGGGAGGAGAACTGCCCCAGCCCATTTCCAAGACTGTAAACCCTTACAGGAGGTAAACAGCCTCATCTTTCTTCCGCAGAGCAACTGGTGGGTTTGAACTGCCAGCCTTTCAATCAGCAGGCTAATGTTAGCCCGACAGGGCCACTGGGCCTCTTACAGCCTGTCTGTGTTGGAACTGGCTTGGTGGCAGTGGTGTTTGGCATGATTTGGTTTACATCTTTCGAAAGCCCCACCCCCTGCTGTGTGGATAAGGGTGGGGGCATCCGGGAAAAGCAGTAGCCAGCCAGGAGGGCACTCTGCTGGCTCAGGAGGAGACGGTGGCCCAAGGCCCAAGAAGTGGTGGGTTGGGGTCTGTTATTGGCTATGGCCAGGGAGGCCGAGGGAGCCTCTCGAATGGCTGTTAGGTGTTAGGCTTGAACTATTGGGGAGGGGCAGGTGTGGTGTCTCCCCGGGGGCCTCTGGATTCTGCAGCCCTAAGAGCCCTGGAGGGCCGGGCCTCTGGCTCGGCATGTCCTCAGAGGTGTCCCACAGCGTGCCGTCGTAGCTTTAAGGCGAAAAATGGTTTCCAGTTAGTGCTCGGTCGGGAGACATGAATGACTGTGTGGTAGAGAGAGAGAGAGAGAGAGAGAGAGAGAGAGAGAGAGAGAGAGAGAGAGAGAG